CCCTGCTAATCAGGAAGAAACCTCCAGCAGAACCAGGCTCAGGGCAGGCGGTCATCTGCCTCGACCGGCTGGTTGAGGGACAGGAAAGAGACACAGGTAAACACAGAAGAACTGGTCCAGGTGCACCTATTTCTGGAAAAGAGACAAAAAGAAAAAACATGTTATTGATAGAAATAATTACAATAAACCTGTAGAGGACAGAGACTGTAACCGATCGTGTGTGGTAACAGAACGCCAAATGGATCAACTGGATCCACCTGTCACTGCACGATCAGGAAACATACTTCTGGATCACCAATTAATGTGCTTGCTTAAGGACAAAATACTGACAATAATTATTTCCATACCTAATTATAAAGGTGCACTAAATTATAATCTGTAAGTTCTTTTAATATTGCATACATTCCGATTAATAAAATATACATTTATGATGTTTACATATTTATTTAAATGAACTTGCTGACCTAAACWGAACTCATTTCTGGACAATGTTATAATTCTGTTATGTTCTGTCTGGTTTCATGTTTTATTTTGACTTCTGGTTTTCTGTCATGTCCCTCTGTTTTCCTGCTGTCTGCCTTAGCTCCAGCCCCACCCACTCACACCTGATCCTCGTGTTCCTCCCCCAGGTGTTTCTTGTTTTTATTCATTGGTTTCCCTTTATATTCTGTTCTGTGTCTTCAGTGTTTGTCAGATCCTTAACTGTTTATGTTCTCTGTTTCATGCTCTAGTTCTAGTCTCAAGCCAAGTCAGGTCTTTGTATTCAGTTTGCTGCCACATCAGCTTCTTGTTTTCACTTAATAAATATGTTTTTACTAAAACTCACTCAGTCCTGCATTCCGGGGTTCTACCAACCAAGTAAATTGTAACAAATTCATCTCATCTCCTTTTCATTATTTTTTTCCTGGAATAAAAATCCACATCTATTGCAAATGTTACCTTTTTTATGAAACAGTGCAGAAGATGAAACACTGAGATCGAATCCATGTCATCAAGCAGTCTAGCTAAATGCTACATGCTAAAAACAAAGAYCTCYAGGCAGTATTTCTTTTAGAGCCTGMGAAAATGAGCTGATGGTAYAGATCGTGCTTTTGGAACAGATTGTCAGTGACACTGCCCAGACACTGCCACAACCGTTAACCATGAGCAAACAAGCAGGAGGAAGCTCACACGAGGGGAGAAAGTGTGCATGCGAGAGCAGAGAAGTTCTGCACACRTGCGAGCAGATCTCTATTTACACTTGCAGAAATCTGTATTCTCCTCTCATGGGTATCACGTTTGCTTGCTCGGATATTGATTTGCACACACAGAATATTAATTTACTCGTGTAGATCCTTGTTTACTTGCTTTACAGTTTTGGCATGATTTTTGCACCATACCCAGGTCTGAACCAGGGATTGAACCCAGGACCTCCTTGTTGTGAAGCATCAGCACTAACCACTGATCCATTGTGCTGACAATWTTTTTTCAWGTTCCGGTAACTTTATTCTTGTGATGTTTGGGGGCAAGATCGGATCCAAGGATGCAGGCAGGCCCAAGGAATCGATTAAGAAATCTTTATTAAAAGCATCAGTGTTGTGGCGGCAAACTAATAAAACTAAAATAACTTACAAAGTGGCACGGGAAGAAAACCAGGGTGAAGCCAAACAGTAAACAGATGAAGTGGTGAAGGAGGACTGGTTGAATAGAGCAGAGGAGAGAGGAAAAGGAGTAAACAAGAAGGTTACAAAGCACATAGACAGACTATGATAATCCTATTCTGAAYGCTCAAAAACATTTAACTCAGTCAGGAGTGGGGTGCCGTGACRTTTTTAAAAATCTTTTATACTTCTCAAAATATATAACTTTATTTACTAAATGTTCCTATTAAAATATTTTCAACACAAAAACATTCCTTCTAAAACCTACTTTAACATATTTCTGCTACTAATGCATGTGTCAATGCTAATGCTAATTCTGCTATTGCTCAATCTAATAAATGCTAGAATTAATGCAGACATTAATGCATCTTCTGCTAGTGATACAACTTTTAAAGCTAATGCTAATTCTGCTGATGTTAGCACTAAAGCTTTTACATAGCTACTTTTAGCTGGTACTTTGCTGGTTTTACCTCATGCTAGTTGTACTTTGCCTCCACTTTAACAACTCAGTTTCAGCTTCTTCAGCAAATTTAAGCAAAAGAATCAGCGTAAATGCTGCATTTTTGCAGGAAATGCAACTCATCTGATAAAAGTGTAATCTCAGACTTGTAAGGTACATATTGGTGGAGTGTGTGTGTGGGAGGGGTGGGSGGGCTTCTATTTCTGCTGCAGTGCTGCCTTTTCCAGTAAATGCCGAGGGGGTCGGGGAGGGAGAAAAAACTGTTTCACTTTCATTTTAACAGTCACACAGTTTAAAAAAACTGTGAGTAGGTTTACTACAGACTGTGTAAAGCTGTGAAATATCAAACATTAGATCTTCATTTAAATATAATAGAAATATAAATTATTATAAAACCTTGCATGATAAACTAAATTGCGGGGTGTTTGGGGACTTCCATGTTTGTCAGAAAGCTGTTGTTTCCTTGGGAGGGAGCTGCAGAGAGAACTGTTTCACTTTCATTGTAAAGGTCACAAAATGAAAGAACTGTTTGTGGTTTCTGCAGACTGTTATCTTTTATACTGTGCTATTATTTACTGACCTTTCTTTAACCAGGCAAGTTCCCTTCAGATCACATATCTCGTTACATGCATTAAAATGGGGCAGATCTAATAGGATTTTTTCTTCTTCTACTACCTTTAATTTCATTTAATTTATGATTTATATTCTTGCTGTATGATGAGTTTGTTATTTTTAATAAAGAAATGAATAAACTTTAAATAAAAATTTAAAAATATTTAAACTCTTTCAAAAACACTCCTTTTAAAATGTACTTCATCATATTTCTGCTTCTAATGCATCTGCCAATGCTGTCTGCTAATGCTGAATCTAATACACCTACTAGTTTTACTAAAGCAAATTCTGCTAGCGATACAACTTGTATAGCTAATGCTAATCATGTTGAACCCTATTGGTGGAGAAAATACTCAAATACTGTACTTCAGTAAAAGTACAGATAAACAGACAAAAATGTACTCCAGTAAAAGTGCCACATTAACATCTGTATTTGAGTAAAAGTAAGTAAGTGCTTGCTTTTAAAAATACTTAAAATATTAAAAGTAAAAGTATTTAATACATTCTGTGATGGTCTACAATATAATGAAGTGTGCCTACTGTTTGTATTAATGCATAAAAGGTGTGGCATTTCAGTGAGTGATGCAGCAGATACTTCATGTTTTTGTGTTTACCCTCTGTGACCTGTGATTCTGTGCATCATCACAGATTGTGACAACAGCTACAGAAACTGTTAGTTCACCACCAAYAYTTCTATCAAATCTCCATGAGWAATTTCATTTGAACTAGAATAACTAACTAACTAGAATAAGTCTTTTAAATAAGACCATGGGTGGTGCATTTCCTCTGGCTGACTCTCTGTGTTATGGTGCGTTCACACCGAACGCGATTTCAGCTTCAAAATCGCAGCCAACGCTGAAGTCTGAAGCTTGTGC